TTCCTTGCCTCTGGCTCAATGACTATGTCACACCATGTGGAACAATTTCAACTGGCTCAGTTGAGAGTACCCCTCTTCCAGAACCCATTGACCAGTAATTAGGGCACTCTCCTACGAAATTGGTAAATGGGTTAGAATCCCCTTGGGCACGAAGTGGGGGACTGAACCTCAGGCTTAAACAACTAGACTACTGTGCAGAAAGGGAAACTACTATCACCTAAGGCAGCTTTTAAAACAAACAAACAAGCCACAACTGCCCCTTGGATTTTGATAAAAATAGTTTAAATGCCCAACTCCAAACAAAATTCAGGGCTCTGAATTTCAAGTAGATTATGGTTCCTCCCTCCAGCCCACAAAACTTGAAGACAGACACCCCTCTCTTCTACATTTCCTATTACCTACTTTAGGCAACTACTCACTGTGCTCTGAAAATACCATTTTGAAGTGCTTTAGTCTCCCCATGCATTACAAGTGTCCACACCTGAGGACAGGAGGGCAATCTAGGCTGACCTTGACAAGCTCAGGAAATGGGCGGACGAGAACCTGATGGTGTTTAACACTGAAAAATGCAAGGTTCTCCACCTTGACAAAAAACCCTGCAGCATCCCTATAGGCTTGGCAGTGCTATGCTGGCTAGCATTACAAGCAAAAGGGACTTGGGGGTCATGATTGACCACAAGATGAACATAAGCTATCAATGTGATGCTGCAGCTAGTAAAGCAAGCAAAATCCATAGATGCTTCTCAAGCAAATCCCAGGACGTCACTCTCACATTGTACTTGGTTTTGGTGAGGCCGCAGCTGGAGGTACTGCGTCCAGTTTTGGGCTCCACAATTCAAAAAGGATGTGGAGAAGCTTGAGAGAGTGCAGAGGAGAGCCACACGCACGATCAAAGGTCAGGAAAACAGACCTTATGATGACAGGCTGAGAGCCATAGGAATCTTCAGCCTGGAAAACCACAGGCTCAGGGGTGATCTGGTGGCTACCTTTAAGTTTATCAGGGGTGCTCACCAGGATCTGGGGGAACGTCTGTTCACCAGAGCGCCCCAAGGGATGACAAGGTCGAACAGTCACAAACTCCTACACTACCGTTTCAGGCTGGACATAAGAAAGAACTTTACTGTCCGAGCCCCCAAGGTTTGGAATAGACTGTCACCAGAGGTGGTTCAAGCACCTACTTTGAACGCCTTCAAGAGACAACTGGATTTTATCTTGCTGGGATCCTATGATCCCTGCTGACTTCCTGCCCCTGGGGCAGGGGGCTGGACTCGATGATCTTCTGAGGTCCCTTCCAGCCCTCACGTCTATGAAATCTATAAAATTCAGGGCTGTGAATTTCACCATAGGAATGCATAACTAAAAGTAAAACACTACAACACCTAAGTCACTTTGTGGATCTAACCTGAAGTGGCTTATCCAAGGTCACAGAAGGCGCCTATAGAGCACAGAGGCTGCTCCAACGCAATTAATCTAGTCTACTGTGGAGTGTGTCAATTGCCACAACCCAGCAGCCTCCTGTGTCTTGAGTATCAGTATCCTAGCACTTAAGAGGTGGCAGAGGCACTTGAACTAAAGGTCATTGAGCAAGCTTTAGGTCAAGCACCCCTGCCGCCATTTTTAAACATGGGGATGCTGATACTGGAGACGCGGTAGCACTTTAATTACAGCTGCTCTCAGAGCCACTTTAATTAAAGCACCACACCCTCCACTAATGGTGGCCAGAGAGAGTGCAGAGAATTACTTTTGAGTCTGCCAAGTTCCCATCCTGTCCTTTCTTCAGGATTTTCCTCTAAATCAGTGATTCTCAACCAGGGTGGCACAGCACCCTGTGGTGCCCTGAGATCTTTTCCAGGGTGCTGCAGGGTGCCACACAAAGTTAGCACTGTTAGTGTGCAAACAGGATTCACAAGAAAAACACATCAATTTAAAATAGAAATCCACAGTTGTGGTCCAAGTTCTTAGCAATGGGAAAACTGCTCTATTATTTTCCTGTAGTCAAAAAAAGAGCAAAAATTAAGAGCTGGTATTTCCAAGGGGTACTGTGAGTCTATCCAGAGTGTCTCAAGTTTCCAAAAAGGTTGAAAACCACTATTCTAAATCCTCCCTTCTATCTTACTGCTTGATTTGTCTCACTCACCACTGCATTACTTTTTCAGGCTGTTCCATATCATGAGATTGAAGAAGTCTTCCACTTATCTTCCAAGCACCCTCTGTTTTTACTATTTCAAATCTCTTCAGAGAACCCTCTATAGTAAGTGATGACATTGTTAAAAATGGCCCAGCATATTCAACAGTTCTGCACTCAGCGTGCTGACTTTCATGGCAAATATAAATCTATATTTCACTCGTTAGCCCCAAAACATTGGCACAGTTGGGACTGAACAAGTTGGAGTTTATTCCATTTTGTGCATTAACAGAATTAATCACTAAGTTCAATTGTTCCTCTTGTGCACGTTTTGTGTATGGGTGTCACAACTTTGACCCAGGGATTCAAAGGTGTACTCAGTAACATAATTTGGCCTTCAAAATCTTTATTGTTCATGATGATGCATGATTCCAAACATCTCATTCGATTCCAAGAGCCAACGTGGAGTTTGCCAAGCAAACAGGAAGGTGAGTTTCATTTGTTAACCGAGTACTTTTCAGGAAGAAATCACTGACACAAACATACATACAGACACAGCACCCAAGCAGACCTGAACTAGAAGCACACTTTAAATCAACTTGTTTCTGTTTACCTTGATATGGGCAGTCCTACCTTTTACCTGAAACCTTCTCTCATCTGTTTTGGATTAGAAACTTCCTGGAGCAAGGACAGGATCATAGCAAGCTATATATATTTACTACATTGTAAAATGCTTAATAAAAATAAGCATCCATAAGGTTCCATCCAGGAAGAGCACACACCAACTGCTGAAACTTCCTTAGCCTGACAAAGGGTTTTTGAACCCAAAATCTTGCTTAATAACTATTCTCCAACTATTTGGGTTGGTCTAATAAAAGATATCAAATTCACCCAAGGAACCTTGTCTGCCTAATAAAAATAACTATCTTCTCCTACATTGTTCAGCCAGGCATTTTGAGGACGGCTTTGTAAATCTCCATATCATCCCCCCATCAATAAACTAAGATCATATTCATAGTGGATGGAGGCAGTCCCCCACAGAGACACCCTGATATGGTGGTAAATTACTTTCAGCAAAAAATCTCTATTCTGGTGCCTGGTAGAAGGGGTACCTGACTACCCATTTATCTTATCACCTCAATACTTTCCCTTTTTTTTAAACTGATTTTTTTTAAATGCAGCACAAAACACTCATAAATAAATAAATATATCAACCATACATGTCAACCCAAGCTATGTGCATGTCCACCACAATACTTTCAGGTCTGATGCGGATGCCTTTTTTCTATATGCTCTCCACCAATCACTTTCGTTTGAGCTGTCTATATAGTGTTGCAAAGGAAGTTTCCCGTGAACTACTATTCTGGGAACTCCCAGATATATTGATACTCTGATCTAGAATCAGTGTCACTAATCAGAACGTCTTGATACTTGGAGCTAAGTGACAGCAACTCCAACTTACCAGCGAGGAGGTTTCTCTGCATACAGCACTGAGGTGGGATGAATGTGCAGTTCATGGTCATCACGGATGGTCCTTGAAGACAGAATAATGTTTCAGACTCAGCTATCACAAATGTCAACTTAACACTTGCATATTAGCATTCTTCCATCCCCAATAAGAATGCTAATAAATTTAAGCAATGAAAGAGCTAGAACAAGTTAATGAAGTCAGACTTAATGCAACAGCTGTCCAGATGAAGAGACTGTGCTTCAAGTCTGGCCCAAGCCATAAATGAAAGAACTGGGAGTTAACAATCTTATATTAAATGGATTTTTGTTCACATCAGAAGAACAAAGGCCTTAAAAGCTTTAAGGTGAGCTGGAGATGTCATAGCTATGCACACTGGTCTAAGCTAATTAATAACTACTGCTAATAAGCCCTTATCAAGATTGCTAACTCTAAGTATTCAGTCAACAAAAGAAGAGATAAACAAGAAACATTTAGAAACTGTTACAAGCCTTCTGAGATTGTTTAACAAATAGACCAAGATTTCTCTTAGGATTCACATGTGTTTCAAGAAGTACCTGTTTGTTGTCTATGCATATTTATCATCATTTCAAAACAGCATGTTAAAAAATAGGTTAATTTCAAACAATTAATGAACCGATTTACCTATAAGCTCCCGTGGAGTGGAATTTGGCTGCATTAGCAAAGAATCCAGAAACTATACATCTCAAAACAGGATCTGGGTCACCTAAAGAAGAGAATCAGTAAGTCTCCCTCTAAAGTGTGTCTGATAACTGAAATACTGCCATGAGAAAAAACAACCCACACAGCATTCTTTCATTAAAAGCGACTTCCAGATCGTGGATGAACTCTGCTTTGACAGGAAAGACCATTTAGCGCCTTAAGAAAAGAGACTGGTATCTTCTCAACAGCTCAGATTTCACAGTATATCAAATCACTACGTAAAACCACAGAGGTGTCCTAGAGATAATACAATTGTATATACAGCATTGCAGAATTTTGCAGCCCTGGGCTGGGCTGTCTGCTCCAGAGAGCAGGGCCGGTCCTGCCCCTCTGCTCCCTAGCTGGAGCAGCGAGGGCTGGCTCACTGTTCCCCACCGTCCACCCCATCAGGAAACCCTGGCCCCAGCCCCAACCCCAGGGTCTGGGACCAGGGTGGGGGGTTAAACTTCTTTTCCCCTGAGTACAGAGCGCCCTGCCCTGCTAAACTTACTGCTGGCTGCGACTGTGGACTACAAATCCTAGAGGCACCTGGAAGCAGGAAGAGGAAGTGACGAGTAACCCTGCAGAGTCCTGCTACTGTGACTGTGGACTGCAAATCCCAGAGACCTCAGGGGCAGCAGGAAGAGGAAGTGAACACACAGCCCATCCTGGCTGTGTGCAGAGAGTCATGTTCTAGTGCCCCTGGCTTGAGCCACTGCAGGCATGTGGCTGCATTTCCTGAATCAAAAGTGAACGTCTGTTCACTTTCTTACTGGTTCAATCTTTGCAACTTAGACTAACTTGCAAACACTGAATCAATTCAGCCTCGGGCTTTTTAACTGTCTGTACTTAGCCCTAATGATAAAAATAGACTTAAGTGCTGGTGTTGAAAAAACAACTGTTAAATTCCAGCGTTGTTATACATATGTTTAAGTCATTTAGACAAAGTATTTATTGACGTACTATAAGAGCAGAAAATAGATCAACAATATGGAGACTCACTACATGCTATTCACAAGGCAAATCCACGGGTAAGAAATGAATAAAGCCTCAGTGCATTGTTCCTACCTTCACTGGATTTCTTCGGTACTTTAAATTTGACAAGAAGCTTTTTCAGCTGCTCTCTCACAATTGTTGCTCTGACAAGCCCTTTGTAGTTTAGAAAGTGCTCCTGACACCACTGAGAACTCTTGCTGTGCTGTATAGCAACAATAGAAGAACAATTAAAAAAAAACACTACAAAAAGCTTCCATACTCAACAGAGCAATCCAGTAGTTTTCCAAGTAGTGTTTTCTTGATATATACCAAATTATGGGCAAACAATGTAACTATGACCTGCCAGACTGCACAGCATACTTTAATTGGCTGCAAATGACTTCCAGTTCCATAAACACCTATTTTCTATTCTAGGCTTGAGTCATTGCTTCCAGTATAAGAAAGGACAATATCCAAGTGCTTCATCTCCATGTGGACTAGCTTGAGTCAGTATTTTTCTACCCTAAAACATAAGTTGACATTTCTCTACTTTATTTTTAAGTGTTTGTCTAGATACAGAACTATTACAAAAAAGCTATTTCTGAAGATCTCCATGTTGTCATACACTTATTCCAGGTATAACACTGTCCATAGAGAATATTATTCTGAAATAGCTACTGCACTTTAAATTCACACTTTACCTTTTAAAGTATATAAAATCATACAGGCACAAATATAATCCTTTGAAGAGTCTTCTAAAACCTGATCTACCCAGTGCTTTTGTATTTGTATACAACCACCTCATTTGGGGTGTGACTGAAGGGGGAGTTATTTTTTAAACCTGAAACATTTCTACCACTGTAACTCCTAGTGAAGATGCAGTTATATCTACATAAAAGCTACCATGTATTATTACAGCTTATTCCCCTTTCAATACAGCACAACTTAAGTCATACAATTTATCTGTGTAGACAAGGCCTAAGATTTCAACTAAACCTCATTGCTCACTAAGTACCCTACATCACTAACAAGATATGAACATTAACAAGTTGGGTTTTCAAAAGGAGCCTAAGGGAGTCAGATACCTAACTTCCAATGAAACTCAAATCTGTCAGCAGAAAATAAAGGAGAACAAGAATTTCAATGTATTTCAGTACCTAATTTCCTTAGGCTTCTTTGCAAATCCCAGCCTAAATGAAGATGTGGGTAACTTCAGATAGGGTCCTGTACAACATCAAACTATGGGATTCATTTGTCTTGTCAGCTCAGTGGAATTATGGGAACATCTGTGACAGAAGTAACCATAAGTTAATTCAAAAGTGTTAGATAACTGGATGGTCTATAAGCCCTTAAGAGTCTCAGTTTTGAGCATCTAGAATCATAACCAATGAAACACACCCTATTCCCCCCTGCAAATTCACATACACCATAAATTGCTTACTTTAATAAAAGCTTCATATACATTTAGCATAGTGAGATGATCGCCTTCTTCCACAGCAAATTTTCTGTGTTGCCTTGTCTGGAAGGGATGAGGGAAAAAGAGGAGAAATGCATTTCATACATACACATTAGATTTGCAACGGTTATTTCTAATAACTTTGGTTATTATCTTCAGTATGTTAATGCTATACATATATTATAACTCCCCGCTAGTTGACAAATATTTTACTATTCAACGTATACTTAAGGAAAATCTATAAAAAACTGAAATTAACACTCATGTGAACAAAAGAAATGAGGTATTTTCACCAATAGACTCAAGTGCATTTATGCCTATAAATTAACATTTTCTTATTAAATACTTTTGTACTCTGAAAGTAAATTTACCTTTTTCCTCTACTTTGATCTTGGAGAGAAGATCAAAATAAACAAGGTCTTCCTATCTATTCACTGTGAAACTGGCTGATACTAGCTTCCGAGGACTCACTTACACTCAGCTTCCCCTTTTTTGCATTATTAACCATATAGGCAAGAACAAAACCATTTTATTCAGGTATATCAAAATTTGTAATTCCCCAGTGAATTATTAATAAGAGTTGACAGAAATTCAGAGATATGGAATAAGCAAGAAAAGTCATGCAATTGAACTCACAGCTTGTGCTTTTTGGTTTGGAGGGAGCACAAACACATTCTGAATCTGCATCATGGCAGCAATACTCAAGATTTCCTGGGAGCAGCCAAAATTTCCTGAAGTGTAAGTTATAGGGAAGAAATATAAGAACAAAATATAAGACAGACTTCTTACATCCAATCTCACACACAAATGATACCATGGAAAAGACGAAGGGTTTATTTTTAGACATTTTATGAAAAAAACAATGCTTTCAAGAGAAATGAAAAATATAGTTATTTCACTGCAAAGCACTGTTGGTAAAATGCCTCCCTCTCTCAACATCCGATTATTAGAAGAGAATCACTCAGTTCTCTGCCAAAGAAACTGCACACACCCAGCTCTGATATATCTACCTACTTCCATATTACACAAACGGACAACACTTCAATGGCTAAAATATGCTTATTAGATTTTTGTTTGTATTTATACTAGAGTACAGAATATATATCATTTCAACATACTCTATGAAAAAGGCTGCCTTTTATGTATTTAGTACTAAGTGGGTGCGTCTACATAAGATGCTTAATGCACGGTACACTAACTCTACTGCCCACTAGTGTATCACAGCAAAAGCCATGCTAATGCGCAGTACACATTAGTCGATTGTGCATTAAACATCACAAAAGGACTGTGCACATTTGCTACTACGCATTAGCACTGGCTACTGTGCATTTAGGTAGTACCTCATGTTAGAGGTACTAAACTTAACGTGCAGTAGCAAAGGCACATTAATGCACATGCAGATACATCCAGTTTGTTTGTTTTTTTGAAGTCATTAAGTAAAGGTTTGGCTCTCTTTTCTTCTTTTAAAAGAAAACTTTACAAGTTATGGTACCTCTGCCAGTTATTACACAGTATGTCCTCCTACAGCAGATGGTATGCGTGGGTTCTACAAAAGCTTCTTATGCTTAACTCTGTCAACATACCTGCTTAAGCAGTACATACCAAAGTATTTACCAGTCCTGAAAGACTTATGTTAATGGAACCACCCCACAATGAATGAAGTTTAGAATGCGTATAACTTTTCAGGATTGTCTGCTCTACTATACTGCCAAATCCTACAGTTTAGTATCTGGATATTAAATATTATTATTATTTCCCAAAGTTTCCCAAAAATTTTACAAAAACAGTGCACTTATACAGAACCTATCCTAAAAATTCTCTTCCGCTGGCTTAGACAACACTTTACAATCAAACACTTACCTTATCAAACAGACTGGTGTAATACTAAAGGGTCAACAGAATAAACAGGCCAAGTTCTGATAAAAGAGTTTGAAATTGTAGTCTAAGAGGAATGCCATAGAATTCATTGACTATCAGGCTTCCCCCCACCAATCTCTTCAATATACATCAAGCCAAACTAGGTAGCAGTGTGTTTCAGAGACTATGCATGTAATCCAATACAGGACTGAGTGATAGTGTCTCTGGGTAGAACATGTCTCATAATCAACACACGACCAACAACAGAAATGTACCCACCTGATTCCAGCAGCATCTTTGCAAACATAGGGTTCAAAGGAAACTCTGCTATTCTCATACCAAGAGGTTCTGTTAGACGACAGTGTTTATCCAAACCTGCAGGATTGTTAATGATTTAGAAAACAGGCAGAAGTAGCAGAGTATATTATCAAAATTGCTAAATATTTATTATGTAAAAAATGTTTTGTGCAAACAAAACGCACAGAAAACACCTTCAATTAATACGTATCAAGCTGGGAACTTGGAAACTTAGAAACTCTTCCTTGCTCCCATTTAGTATCTGCTGAGCCAGTATTTTTTTTTTAAGCAAACATATATCTTTAAATGAATCCTGTCCTGTTCACGGACACAACAGCTCCTTGATCCATAACCAAATTCGACTGGCACCTACAGCAATTCAGAAACTATTCAGCCAGTAGTTACAGGGATCAAACTCTTCCATGCATTTTGCGAGACAGCCTTTTGAAAGCCTTTAACTCTGCAAATCGAAACCTTGTAAAATTTCTACCTATTCTTGAGGGAATTTGCTCAAGTTTTTTTTTAGGGAAGAAAAGAAGCATGGGCAAGATGAGCAGAGGGAGAAGGTCTGAGGTGACAGAGCACCATTTTTCTGAGTCATATATCTCATTGACTCTCTGACAAAAAATTAAATGTAATACTATCATTGCTACAGTATCTACACCAGGGTAGGCAACCTGCAATCTCACATACCAGTCACTAAATTGGCAGCTACATTCCAACTCCAAAATTGTTACCGTGTATGATCACATACAGGATAGAAAGATAACAGTTTGATTTTCAATTCCCAAGTTATTACTAAGCACTCTCAGTGCGTTAGGCATCTTCTGCAGAAGAATGGCCGCTTACATACAAAGACTCAGTGCATTTCCGACAAGAAAAACTAAATTTGGAGTCCTATACATTCTCTTTAGAACACCATGTTGCAAACATTTCCTGGAAGAAATGCCTTTGGAAAAAAGATTCGAGTGGAAAGGGTTCTAAGGGTAAGGGACACAACAGAAAAAGAACACATTATCTGAGAAAGCTACATAAAGGCAGTTGGGAAAGGAGAAGAGGAAAGACTGAAAAAAGTGGAGCACAAAGTGAAGATGAAGATTAAAAGCCTGAGGTAGAATAAAGCAGGATGGTCCCTCTAAGGGTGATGAGGATAGCAGAAAAAAATGGAGAATGTGATTTTTGCCCAGTCTACGCTGCGGAAATAACTGTGGCTAGTGTAAAGAATAAAAATGGCTGTGGCCTACCAGTTGCATAACATATTTCATAACAGCACAGACCAGACAGAGCTATAACGTGGCTGTGACAGTCAACTTTCACAAACGTGATAAATATGGTTTCTTAACCAATATGGGCAGTGGGCAACATTTCCAAGAGGACCTTGGGAATTTCTGTGCCTAGTTCCATTTAAGCATTTTTGAAAATTGCTCTGAGCATTAGCAGAAGCATTTAGAACAGACATGGGAAATGGGAGACAGAAAGACGCAATCAGACTCTAGACAGACAAGGTTTTATAATTTGAGAGAGAAAAAACTAACAGATTTTGGAGATGCTGAAGATCACAAAGCAAGAGGTTTTCGTAAAAGCATGAATAGGTATACTGCACGAGGTAGGAAGAGTGAATCTGTAAACCTGAGTAACAGAGTGGGACAGGATGGTATGCAAAACAAAAGCAAGGATGGGTAAGTAGGGCAACACAGAGCCATGAAGAAACTGGAAGATGTCATACATTGGGGGAATTTTTTTTTGTACCTTGTCTTAATATTTTATTGTTTCTATAATTTTTTGTCTTTTATTGTACCCTGAGCCGTTTTGGCAAAGGAACTCGCACGATCAGGGATTAGCAGGGCAGACCCTACGAGAAGAGGCTAAGGAACCTGAACCTGTTCAGCCTCCACAAGAGAAGGCTGAAGGGGAATCAAATGGCCCTTTACAAACTAGTCAGGGGGGGCCAACAGGCATTGGGAGAGTCCCTGTTCCCCCGAGCACTACCAGGAGTGACAAGAAATAATGGTCACAAGCTGGCAGAGGGTAGATTTAGGCTAGATATCAGGAGGCGCTACTTCACAGTCAGGGCGGCTAAGATCTGGAACCAACTTCCAAGAGAAGTGGTGCTGGCTCCTACCGTGGGGGTCTTTAAGAGGAGGCTGGATGAACATCTCAATGGGGTCGTTTGACCCCAGTACTCTTTCCTGCCATGACAGGGGGTCGGACTTGATGATCTGCTCAGGTCCCTTCCAACCCTACAACTATGAAATGAAATTAATAAATGCAAATAATGCCAGGATGAAAAAAGCATTTATCTCTTCACATATCTGTAGGCAAAGAAAAATCATAAAATGAAGTGAAATAGAGAACAATGAGTTGTTCAGTTGCCAGTACTATTAACACATTTTAAACTATAAATACCCTTATCAGCAATCTAAACTTCATTTAACATTAAATTATCTGCCCTTTACTGGCAGTGGCAAGTCAATCTACACAAGAATTTCCGGTAAAACCAGATCTGACGAGTATTTCACAAAATGTCAAAATGTATTTTCTTCTAAGGGAAAACCTGCAGGATTGTTCATACAGGCAGTTACTCTAGGACTGAGAATGTTATAATGAATTTTACACACAAAACACCAGGAAATTAAAAAATTATGGTAAAATTAACTATGACTTTGCCACTCTCTTTGTAAGCTATCTAGGTCCTACTGTAATTAATTCCTTTGCTCGGCTGCAACTTTAACTACATACTTACCAAACATATCTCTCACTTTAAATTCATATGGTTTTATCAGTTTAACTCCAACAGACAAACACACTCTTCTAAACTAAGTAACAGTGGCAGCTGCTCTATTCTGCTGAAAGACTGTAAGGTGGCAAACAGGAATTTGTTCTGCACCTCTCTTGGGATCTGCCCCAAAGCACATGGTTTTTGCCAGAACAGCAAGGCAGTGAACTAAACCTCTCTGTCTCCCTAAGGTGCTTTAGTTGCATATTTATACTCGCATTACATGAGTCAACCTCACAGCATTGGTTCCAGGCTCAAAATGGCTGCTAAGAATCAACTTGCTCACAAATGAAAAATCCTCTCTCCTTTTCTTAGTTAATGGCTAAGAACTAAGAATTCTAACAAAAAAAAATGCTTTCCAAAAGTAACCAAGGATAAGTGACTAAAGAATTATTTTAGGGTTTCTAAATTTCACACCCTTCAAAAGAATGACAAACAATTTAACAAGCATGTTAAATCTTGGGAAAATTACAGGTTTCTGGTAGTGGTACAGTGTAACACAAAATGAAAGACACATCCAATGCATCAATTAAGAACTTCAGTGTAAGGTAATTTATTCATGTGAATAAATGCATATTTAAGTGCCTATTTTTAGGCTCTGATCAACTTAGTTTCCGGAAGCTATTTTCTAATAAGCATTTCATATGATTGTAGTAAACAGGAAGGGAAGACCTGCCACTGTGAGTCAGAGTAGTCGGCCTAGAACAGTATCCCATTTCTGACAATGATGAATAGGAGCTGCTTCAGGGGAAAATTTCAAAAATTTTCTAGAGCATTCAGTTGTTTCACAATGGCTCCTTTCCAAGGCACATTCATTAAAAGCTAGTTTAAAAGTTTATGGAAAAATTGGGGAATTGCAGCTTCAACAATTTCACGGTCTGATGGCTGGGGAACTGGATCAGTGGATGGACCCAGAGTGATAGCTGATGGAACCAAATCAACACGGCACATGGTAACCAGTGGCGTCCCCCAGGGCTCCATTCTCGGACCTGTACTCTTCAATGAGTTTATAAACTATCTGGACTCTGGTGTCAGATGTGGACTGGTTAAGTTCGCTGACGACACCAAGCCACTGGGAACAGGTCTGGCGAATAAGTCAGTCTACAGCATAGGCTGGCAATCCAGGCCGACCGCAACAGGCTTACAAGGTGGGTGGATCAAAACCTGATGGCATTCAACAATGAAAAATGCAAGGTTCTCCGCCTCAGGAGGAAAAACCCATACCACACGTATAGGCTCAACAGCACTATACTTGCTAGCAGGGCTGTGCAAAGCAGCACTGTTCCGCTTCAACTTCTGTTTTGACGGAACAGTGTTTCGTTTTGAGTTTAGTTTCATTTCGAAAGCACTGTTCTGTTTTGTTGAAACAGTTTTGCTGTTTCAATGCTGTTTCGACATTTCACCCATAAGCTATAATGGGGAAACACGAAACTGGAGGAGCACCGTCCTGTAATTGCAGGCAGATTGGGGGCCCACACCCCCAGAGGAGACTGGCAGAGCCCTGCAGCCCTCCCAGGGGTGCGGGCAGGAGGCTGTCGCTGCCGCCTGGGACCGGCACTGGGAACTGAGCCCAGTGGAGAGAGGCAGCACACAGCCCTGTCACTGAGCTCCACTTCCCCCCACCAGGCTCATTTTACGGGGCTGGGAGACACTGGGCACTGAGCCTGGTGAAGGGAGGGCGCTGTGCCCCGCCTCCCTCTACCAGGCTCAGCTCCCAACAGCTCGCAGCCCCGTGGAACTCAGCCCGGTGTTGGGAGGCGGAGCGCAGCACTGGTTCTGCCCACCTCCTGCCACTAAGCTGAGCTCCATGGGGCTGGTGGAGCCAACTGGAATGCAGCCCAGTGGCAGGAGGCAGGCAGAGCTGGTGCTGTGCTCCAACTGGCTCCACCAGCCCTACGGGGCACAGCCCACCAGTGGGAGGTGGGGAGAGCCAGGGCTGCGTTCCCCCCAGGCTGAGCCACATGGGGCTACGGAGCTGCTCAGAGCGCAGCCTTGGCTCTCCCTTGGCTCCCACCACCTGGCTGTTGCTTCAAAACTCGAAACGTTTCAAAACTTTCAAAATGTTTCAACTGGCCTCGTTTTGTTTTGAGGCTGTTGTGAAGAAGCCCTTTGTTTCGTTTCGATCTCACCATTTCGAGCTTGGAATGAGTTGATATGAAACAGCTGGTGAAGCTTCACACAGCCCTACTCACTAGCACCATGACCGAAAGAGACTTGGGGATCATGACTGACCACAAGATGAACATGAGCCACCGCAGCCAGCAAAGCAAACAAAACTCTGGCTTGCATCTACTGATGCATCCCAACCAAGACCCAGGAAGTCATCCTCCCACTTGACTCGGCCTTGGTAAGACCACAGCTGGAATACCGTGTCCAGTTCTGGGCTCCACAATTCAGAAAGGATGTGGAAAAGCTTGAGAGAGTCTGGAGGAGAGCCACAAGCATGATTAGAGGACAAGAGAGCAGGCCTTATGAGGACAAGCTGAGAGACATGGGACTCTTCAGCCTGGAGAAGTGAAGGCTCAGGGGTGACGGTGGCAGCCTATAAGTACATAAAGGGTGTGTATCAGGAACTGGGAGAACATCTGTTCACCAGGGCACCCCAAGGGAAGACAAGGTCCTATGGTCACAAACTCCTGGAAGACCATTTTAGGCTGCACATAAGGAAAAACTTTTTTACTGTCCGAGTCCCCAGGGCCTGGAATAGACTCTCCCCAGAGGTAATGCAAACACCTACTCTGTATACTTTCCAAAAACACTTGGATGCCTATCTTGCTGGGATCATTTGACCCCTGGTGACTTCCTGCCCCTTGGGCAGGAGGCTGGACCCAATGATCTTGCAAGATCCCTTCTAGCCCTAATGTCTATGAAATATATCCTTTCCAAAACTTCTGGGTGCTTAGGGTTTTTTGTTGCTCTTGTTTCTGTTTAGAACAGAGGTGGGGAAAACAGGATCTGCAAGCCGGATCCAGCCCACCAAGGAATTTTATCCAGCCCATGGCATGTTCCTTCACCACCGCCTGGCTCAAGCTTGGGGGCAGCTGAAGCCATGGTACAGGCAGCTGGTCCCACTGCCCCCAGGCACGCAGTGGGGCTGGGGCAGTACGGCAGCCAGACTCTGCTTCCCAGCAGCCCTGAAAGCAGCAGCTCCTTCCAGCTGCTGCTACCAGAGTTACCACCACCACTGGACCCAGCCCCACTGCCCAGGCACCTTGGCCTATCCATCTCACATGCTGGACAGAGCAGGGTCTCCATGGAGACCGGCCCAGGACCCATGCAGGTAGGGCATGTTTGGCCAGGCAGATGGAATGGGTCTGCGGGCAGGAAGGGAGCAGCAGCTAGGAGTGGGACAGGTGGGCAGAGCCAGGGCCAAGATCACAGGGTGGTAACAGATACGCAATCTGCTCCCTGCACAACAGATTGTGACTGGCCCAACTCAGGAGGGGGGCAGAGTATATATCCATGACCTGGACTCCCCTGCACCCACCCCAGCACAGGCACGTGCAGACAGCCCAGTACAGTGTAGCTGCAGAGTGGTGCAGCCTGGCAGTGCGACACAATCCTGACAGATCACAAATGGATTAGATTGCCCTGTACTGCTGGGCTATGCTGCTCTGCAGCCACACTGTACTGGGTCTGCCCAGATATAGCTGTAGTACAGTGCGGGCAGCGGGGGCCGGGTCACAGGCATATGCTCTACCCTCTTCCTGGGTTGGGCTGGGCATGATGTGTTATGCGGAGTGTGGATTGCAGATCTGCCCTGGCCTCCGGCCCCATGCTGTCACCACCCACGATCCCAATCCCAGCCCAGCCTGCCCGGTCTGGAATCCCATCCACCTGACTGAGCGCACCCTACCCATGGAGGCCACTTACGGGAGTTTTGGTGAGCTGCTGAGGGTGAAGGTTGCCAACCCAGAGCTCAACAAAACTCCGTAAGCGGCCCTCCAGCTCAAATAATTTCCCTCCCCTGATTTAGAATCATCTTAGAAACACATCAAGAGTGGAGCTCACTCTTAAGTGTTCACTTTCCAAACAGTATTCTCTAAAACAGATGCCAGGTTAATACCTGTTTAAAGAACGGAACCATGGATTTTGATTTATTCCTCTGTAATGTTACTATAAAAACCATAAAAACCTATGGAAATGTAGCAGTCTCACCTCCTAAAGCATACAGCAATTCCAAAGCTTGCACCATTGATTGTGCAGGGGGTGGCTGTGAAATACAAAGAAAAACAACTTTTCAGATTATTACTGACAGAGAAATTCGGTGAATTTTCACAATAAGGAATCTTATATTTCTTTCCTTTGTCATAGGAAAGGAAAAACACCCCAGTAGCACCAGGTATGATCTTTCATCCCATCCTTTCTGTATGCAGTACTTTCCATATCCTTTTGAATACAGAATGGAGGGAGAGTTATTACATCACCTCATCTCCTGAACTGTTACAGCATAATTGCTGTGATGCTTTCAAGACCCTATGAGCACATGAAATAAAACCAAACAAAAAACAAACTTGCATTGTCCAAGAGTTATTCCATAAGGAACTGGAACAATTTCTTTTTAAACTGTCTTACTTTAAATGCTATTGTATAGCAAAAAAAAAAAAAAAAAGTCTGACCACCTGAGAAGCAGATTTCTGAAAGGAACCCACGACTTACAGAGAGGAAGGGGAACCTGAGCACATTGTCAATTCCCAAAGCTTTCAATTGCAATATGACAGGTGACAGGTTACTCCGCTGCATTTCTGGAACAGTGGACTGTGGCAACTTCTCAAAATCTTCCTCTGTGGGGGATGAAGTAAAAGCTCTTTGGAATCAAGTTTCAGAATCAAACACTCATTTTGAGCCAATGTATTTTCTTTGTATCCTATTTGATTTTCACATTGTTAAAGTGACTGAAATCCGTCAGAGGTACTCACTATACTAAAAATTACTCTAAGTCAATGTAAAAAGAACAATATTTAAACTATTTGACTTCTATTATTAATTAAAATAAAAATGACTGGAGACCACAACCACCATCATTAACAAGCCATTTGTTATCAACATGGAGTGTTTTTAAATCATAAACTAATATAGCCAAAGATCTATACAATGAAGAATGCAGGGCATCTTACCATGATACCTGAACATTATCAAACATTACTAAATTAATTATACATAAAGCATGTGCCTAGTGGTATGCAAACCCCTGTAGGGTACAAGTGTTTTCCTGCTAGAATTAAATCAACAGCAGTCTGAACCTCAATGAGCATATTTTAAGACAGTCCTGATGTGATGTTTGCAAAAAGAAATCAGTAAAGTTAAATGCAAGTCACAAAATATCAACTTCTCCTGTGCAATACATCACCTACCTGTGTAAAGCCTGTAACATTTTCCAGAGCGGTTTCGGCCTGCACGCCCTGCTCTCTGATTAGCTGATGCCTTTGACACTGGAACAACTACAAGGCATTCAATGGCTGTTTTGGGATTATAGGCCCGAAGCTTCATAAAGCCACAGTCAATCACAGATGAGATTCCATGAATCGTAATGGATGTCTCAGCAATATTGGTGGCCACAATCACCTAGAGACACCAAAGGCAATCATGTTATTTGAGCTCCAATTTCCATTCAAGTCTGCAGTCACAGCCCCTAGGCCTCAAATGGGAGTCACCTGAAAGAATTCAGATGTGTCATCTACAACAAATATACAGGAAAGCATAGAAGTAATACACAGGTGAAGCTGTTCACGTGATAAACTGCTATATTCTCCCCATAAAAACCAAGGGAAACAGGTTATCTATACAAGAAAAAAAATAAAACTAACTCTACATATACTAACTGCTATCAGATAAACAGAAAACCACAAAAATTTATTATAACTGAAGGAATTGTTAGAGAGAAATCATCTGTCTTTACTTGTAACAATAATAAAAACGGAAACAGATAGCTGATCTCAAAGTAGATAATATCCATAGGAAGTTAAGGTCTTGTCAATTTTTTTAGAGCAGCAAAAATGTTATGGCAAAGCCTAGAGAAGTATAATTTTGTGTCATTTGAAACAGCAACATATTAAAAAATTCTTAAAGTTTGAGTCAGCAGTGTACTAAGGAGGCAAGAGAGGTAAATTTCCAATTGTCCAACATCCTCCAATAGGGAACAAGCAACTGTAATAATCAAATCCACAAAGAGACAAAAACAATGGTAACTCATCCCCTGCAACAGGGTGGATAAAAATCAATAATGTTTTTTAAGTTAAAAAAATCGGAATTTTTTTTATTTAATCATATTTTTTATTAACATGCTTTTAAAAAAAAATAAAGATAGTTTTAATTTAAGATATGTTAAAACTCAAAGAGATCATCATGGAATTGGGATTATAACTTCTAATTATATACTATTTGAAACAATATATCCACGTAAACTTTTTAGAAGTTTTATAAATAGGTCACAATAGGCCATGGACTATATCAGGAGCCCAATCTTATAGGGTTCCCAGAGGTTCCTCTATGCATTAGTAAAGGTTAAAGAAAACCACTCTACCCAATGGGACTCAGTGCTCAGTCTAGAAAATCCCATTAATCATCTCAATGATGCTTAGTTTCAGTTCCCAAACTGTGGATTTGTGTCTCCAGAGATCACAGACAGACAAAGTTCTTTGGGTACATGTGATATCTTTTATTAGACCTACTAAATAGTTGGCAAAATTGTTCTTGGCAAGCTTTCGGGCACAAAGCTCTTCTTCAGGCATAGGGAAAGTTTCTTGTCTCCAGAGATAACATCCTTATTAACAGGAGTATATGGAGATGAGAGATAACAGACCTAATTACTAGGCCTGTGCAAAGCAACTAGTATTTGCTTCAGATTCAGATGCAGCTGATTCGGGGGACAGTGATTCGATTCGGCGATTTAAATCACTGTTATGAATCGATCTGGCCAAATCGCCCAGGCCAGGCCTATCTCCCTCCTGATCTCCCAGCTCATCAATGGCTGTCCCACCTGCCCCAGCTCCCGGCCCTTTAAAAAAAGAGTCCAGACTCACCCCCCACCCCCCCTAGCCCCCCCATGCCTGCCCCACCCACTGCGGCTCCAGCCCTTCAAGATAAAACAAACAAACCTTGCACCAAGAAAACCCCTGCACTCACCATTCCTGCCTGGCGGGGGGGAGTGGGGGGTGATCCCTACTGCCCCATGACATATGGGCCCCCCAAAACCTGGAGACCACTGCAGGAGCGATGAGTCCCGGGACTTTTCTCTTTTTTCTTCCTTAAAGGGCCGGAGCTGGCCCAGGCACAGCACCCATGGGAGGGCTGGGAGGATGGGGGGGGAGTGGGGGGTGTCAGGGGGCTCGTGGCAGAGCCCCCCATGCAGCATGGGGCACTGCGGGGCAGCAGGGATTACTGAGGGAGCAGGCAGGGGATGGGGCCTGGCAGAGGTCCCCCCAAGGTCCCCTCCCTCCCCCTCCTTACCAGATCTGAGTCCAGCTGCAGCCCCCTGCTGCAGCCACTGGGGACTGTCCAAATCATCGAAGCTCTCTGAATCTTTTCCAAAGACTCAGAGAGCTTTGAATCAATTTGGACCTTTTAATTGGGCCCGATTCAATTCGGATTCAGAGATTCGGCCACTGAATCGAGCCCAATCTCCTCCGAATCGAATCACCACCCAAAGCTTCGCACAGCCCTACTGACTGCCCACCCACCAGCCCTATTGTCTCTTTGCAAGTTTGTGTACACACAGTCAAGCCTTTACCTCTCTCTAAAAGTGCAGTTTCAAGAAGTTAAATGAATAGACGATATCAAACAACAAGAATGCACTTTTTGTAGAAAGCAATGATTAAATCAAGGCTTCCTGACCAGTGATTTAAATCAAATCCACTGGGCCCTGCAATGCTAACAATATTTCAGTTCCAAACACAGGCCTTGCCTATGCAAAAACACCAACTGCCCAATTGCATGGTAACTCTATAGCATGAAGTGGTCGATGGAAGCTAGCTGGAGCCAGACAAACTCATTTTCAATGAAAACAAGACAAGTTTTAACTCTTTTTAAATGAAATTCTACTGCATTTACCCAGCCTATTACTAAGTCTTGTTTTACTGCTAAGAGATATCTGTATCAGTATGGATTTCAGAAAGAAATGCAAGAAACTGAAGCAGACAGCAAGAGCAGAGTATTGTAGAGAAGAGGCTGAGAATCTTGAAAAGAATGAAGATAAATATGGGAGCTAGTGTAGCAACTAGAAAGGAAAACTGATTAGGCAAACAGGAGAGAAATTATTGTAGCTGTAACATTTTTGACAAACTGAGAAGTAAGGAAGAGGCTAAAACCAGAATAATTTGCAGAATTCCCTCATTATTGATAGTACTTGCTTTCTGAAAAGTGACCTGCAGTACTACTTGATACAGAAAGGGTGCCCAGATCCGTATCAGAATTTAGTACACTGTAGAGATGGACAGATGTAACAGGTTGACAAGCCCAAGTCCACACAGCTGGAGGTAAGACCCCTTTAAAATTCTAAGCACCTGACTCTGCCTCTTTGAGCTATGTGAGTGAGCCTGAAAGAAGACATTTGGTTCATTCTGGCTGGGAAAGAGACCAGAGCTCCTTAAAAGAAATTATCTCTCCCCAGAGTCTCAACAGCTCCCAAAAGAGTCAGTTAGTGGACTAGCACAGCAATGAAACAGCTATGGGTTGGAGGTTGCAGTTCAAAGACTGGAAAAGGACAGAGGCCCATGTCACAAGTATAGATAAATGTGCATGGTGCAAGTCTCCTACAAAGGCAGGAACCACTCGTGAAAGGGTCAGAAGGAAACAGGGGCAAGGGCCGCAGCCACAGAAAGGTGCATGTGTAGAGCAACAGCCAACATGAGAGTGGCTGAGGACAATTGTTACAACTGAACTACTAGGCAGCTACAGGAACTATGATCACCGAGAATGTTTAGAAAGATGCTAAAAACACAATGCAAAGTATACTACATGAAACTCAATGCATATTATATTATGGGGGATCGTGGGAACTTTTTTGCTCCAGTTTACAATTCTGGAGACATAACTGCTTGGAAAAAGGGACTGAGTAATGTGTCCAGAGACCACCAGCTTGGTGGTCTCTAAGCTGATCATGTAACAAAGGGCAAGATATAGCACTTGATCTGAGCCCACAAGATACTATTATCTGTAAAGAGTACGGGAATCCCTCTGAATGAGAGGCACTAAAGCAATATGCTAAATGGCAGCCTTACCTTTCTGACAGTGTGTGAAACCCTCTCAAATACTTTCATCTGCTCAGAGGAAGGAAGCCCAGCATACAAAGGGAGAACACGGAGGTGTTTCTTCATCCCAGTACGAGAAAGGGCTCGAGCCTGTTCTATCAGCATAGAAACGACAGTTTCTACTTCCTCCTAGAAAAGTACAGACAGACCAAGTGAAATTTAGCTATATCATCACACAACTAAAACCTGTGTGTAAGAGAAAGATGCACAGAGTGTGTCTCCAATGCCTTGTACTTCAAACACTTTGAATGTTATGTAAAACATTTAACTAACTTGGACAACATATGGGGCATCTATTCAAGTACAAATAAATAAATACATGAGCACACACAATATAAACGTAGGCTGAATTTCGAGTTGGGGAAGGAGAATATAGTAGTGCTCTCAGGCACTTTGAACAATTTCAGATGTCAAAAAAGAGATGCCTATCAATCTAGACTAAGCAGAACTTCATGATAAGACCACCTCTTAGATTTGTTCACCAGTAAAATAGTTAACAGAATGCATATCTGAACTGTTGGTCAACTTCAGATTTAAACCCAATTAAAATTAAAGGTAGCATTTAATTCCTTTAAAAACTTTGATCATGGCTGTCTGCAAACTAAGGCAGGTATCATCATATCATTTACTCAGTCCACATTTTAGAAGTTATTTTAGCAACAATAGAGACTACAGCATTTTTCTTGTAAAAAGATCAGCCTTCAGAGGGCCAGTTTTCAGACCCCTTAACACAGGACCAGTTTGCCAAGTTGCCACAAACCAACCCAGTTCAACCACTGAAAGAAAAGCATCTAATCTGAAATATGATGCTTTGCTAGTCACCTTCATTTTCACAGGCAGCAAAACACATTGCACTACTAAACAAGAAATGTAACATGCAAGACAGCAATGCACTTCCCTTACCCAATATTGGGCAGCTTCAGCTAAACTACTTTATTACAGTACCACTTAGAACAACCCACTTCAGATGAAGGTGCACCTTGTGCTCAATACATATGCAGATCCGATCTATCCTTGAAAGTTAATTTGTACTAAAATACAAGTGCAACAGTGATTCTGGAATAAATTTTTGAGTAGAAAAAGTAAAAGACAATGACTGTAGCACAGAATTGCTATCTGAAGGGCATGCCAGAAGGAATCAGCACTAACCAGTAATGATTCAAATACTATATAGCTGCTTAGAGCAGTACTTCCCAAACTTTTCCTCAGCATGAGCCTATTTATGATCCCATTTCCTCAGCATGACCCCATTTCCTCAGCACGTCCCCTCACTCCCAACCCACAGCCCCCCATCCCCCCACCAGGTGCCTCAGGGCCAGGGTTCACAGCACCCTGCCACCCTTCAGTAGCACCCGAGCCCCAGCTGCCGCTTGTGGGAGGTGGTGGCTGCTGCAGCCAGCGTGGAGCGCAGAGCCCAGCTCCCCACTTCCAGCCTCCACTCTCTCTATTGCATGGGGCTCTGAGTGGCACACATATACAGCTCCTGGCACTCGTATGACATTGGGGGAAGCCCCATGATGGAGCCAGCTGCCTTCCCCACCCCCTGCTGTGCAGGTCCCTAGATTCAGCCAGGAGTGGAGGAAGTCCTATCCCCGGCGATTCCCGGCAGTCCCAGGACTTGCACAGAAGGGGGCACAGAAGGCAGCCAGCTCTATTGTGTAGGGCTTCTCCCAGTGACATGGAATTGCACGTGCCACACAGAATCCCACAAGATACAAGCAGGCTGGCCTGTCTGCTCTCCTCACCACCACATGCAGCATTGGCTAGAGCCATGCATCGCCAGGTAGCAGTGCTTGGGCAGCCCACAGCTGGTCCAAGCAACTGCCACCTGCTGCCAGCAGCAGGGGCTATGCCATGGGGGGAGAAGTGGGGGAGGAGTGCGTGGGAGTTCTCACACCCACACCCTGCCCACCTGAGCTGCACTGTCCCACTGCCCCCCTGGGGTTGGGCTCCATGCTGCCACCAACCCCAGCCCCATGCTCCCGCCCCACACCCAGCTGGAGCTCCCCCTCTGCTCACCCCTGCCACTTCCCCACCTGGTGCCCGGAGTGAGTGGGATGACACGGGAGGCAAGTAGATCCCACAGCAGCTGCTGCAGCAGCAGCAGCCACCCTGCCTGGAAGCTGCATGGGTTAGGCGGGTACAGTCAGTTGGTGGGTGCCAGTGGCCAGATGAAACTGTCTGGCAGGCTGTTTCCAGCCTGCAAGCCATATTTTGCCTGGCCCTGACTTAAAGTGATTTTATTTCTTGCGACCCCAAATGGGGTTGTGACTCAGTTTGGGAACCACTGCCTTAGAGGACGAGTAAAAAAAATGTACAGTAACAACCAGGTTGAAGTTATACAGGTCATGTAATTTTAAAGGTACTTTAGTTAACATCTTATAATTTAAGATATAAAATAAGACCTTTCCAACAGGAACAGCCAGAGAAAGAGAAACTCAACTGGTTTTAAGACTGAGCTTGATAAATTTCTGAATGAGATTACAGATAGTGGTTTGCTTATGATAGCAGGGGACAGGACTCAGATCCAGGAAGCACCTTGTAATCCTATGTTCTTCAATTTAATATCTTAGTGCTTATCACAAATGCAATTTACACTGATTAATGACGACTTGCACATAATTTAGAAACCTAGTATATGAAAACAGTACAAAGAAATAATGGATTGTTTCTGTCAGTTTCAATGGAACTGAAAGCACAGGGCAACATCACAAGGTAACTATTCACAGCACCAGGGTTTGATTAATTTGGTGTAATAGCAGGATTTCCAAAAAATATTCAGCACTGGCCTGATTTTACTTTTATGGGTTTCCAAACTGCCAGTATCTTTAACAGGAGCAGAGTTATAATAAGAGCTTGCAAAACCATATCCGGAAAAATACTAACTTAAAGCAAAAAAAGAAAAGCATCCTTTTAAAGTTTGTTTGTACCTGGCCAGTTAGAAAGGCCAATATATCCCCATCACTCTCCAACTGGTGAATTTTCATCACGGTTTCTACAGTTGATTTGACATAATCTGGAACAGGGCTGTTAAAGGGGTGGAGAAACAAAAAAAAGCCTTAGTATGTGCATAACTACAATCTTTTATCTTTAACAAGGAAAGAAGAAATTGCTAGCTTTGCATAGGCATTACAAATCAATTATATTCTCATTCAATTCATGATGTATCTTTAGAAAATTAACCAGTCAGCCTTTGGGCCCAGCTAATTGCCATGTTCACCATGTCAGTCAGATGCACCCCATCTGTTCCCTTCCCATCAGGACAGGCTTTTGCAAAAATATGCTGTTTGTGATACTACAATTATACAGAAAGAGCACCATTTTAAAGAATACATTTCCTAATAAGCCAAGCTGGTATATATGTGAACAACTGAACACTTAAGTGAAATTCTAGTGCAAGTATTGAGGGCTAAATTTACAAAGTAATTACTGCAAATGCACACAAATACCTCTAATTGCCCAGATGTTGTTTACAACTGCGTGCACACTTTTTAAAAAATCTAGCCATAATTGTTCATATTTCTTAATTTCTACAGGCTCCCATTTATATAAAACTCTCATAATAATCAGACTTGCTTCCAAATGCACATGTGAAATGTGGTATTCTCTCTGCAAAAAAATGTAATAACTCAGCAAGAAGTGTGTTTGCACAAATATGAATTAGTATCTGCACAAAGATAGATGTGCACAAATGAATAAACTCCCCTGAATACCTGGACCTAATGACTGTTTCCTGAACGAGTGCCTTGGTATAAACAGGCTGCTATGATCTCCTTTAAAAACTTTCCATTGTTTCCAGAAATGTGCAACTCACCTGTAAAAAGTTAGATATTATCAAGGCAACACTTATTTTTAAAAGGCTAAAGGCATGTCCTTCAGAGGAGGGAAGACCACATATCCAAACCCAGAAATCTGATTTGAGGTAGGCTGTAAGCTATAAATGAGACAGCCACATCATACTGTGCACAAGCTGGGGCTTGCCAAGTAGTTACATGGGAGATGGTTACAGAAAATGCCAATGCAGCATAAATGGTAAAGTAGCATGCTTCATCACAGCAGGATGTGTGAAGGCACTGTTTCCTAGGATGGAGCGGCTATTCCTTTACTTCCTAGGTGCTGTTCTCCTTACAGTCTATTATTATGTTGTATTTTAGCCATCTCCATAGCTTCTGGAGGGCACAACAGCTGAATGAGGAATACATCATACCAACATTTCTCTGTTCAGCAAAAATGCAGCCTGAGTATTGGATGTGGGGGCTTTAAAAAAACAGAAAGCTTACTGTTACCAAACTTATTTGTTTCCTTCTGAAGAGAGCAAGCATGATTCTCCTACCAGGTTTGCACATTCTTTTCTGTGGAGAATGGCAAAGCAAAAATACCACTTGGCCTGCTCCCTCTGAGGGAGGAAGAGCAAAAGATGCCACTAAATCCCTGTAACACCTGTCTGAGATGCACTCCAGCTGGCTGGCATGGACAGCTCCTGAAGCCCTTTTCCTCTATTCAAGCCCACTTTTGCTACTAACAAATACAAGAAAATGCACATTCAACTGAAAAGATTACGTTCACATCAATACCCTTAAGGTGTTGGCATTAAAACCATGTAAGAATATTTCGAAAGAGTAGCTAAGGTTCCCTCAATTAATCCCCCACAAAGAATTCCTAAACTTTTAACTAAGCAAGCTGATGCCATAGATACACATTGCTCTAATCACCACTTACAAGGATTAAACAGGAACAGACCTCTGTATATAAAAGACATCCACTGGAAAAGTTCTCCCTTCCACGGTAAGAATCACACTGGTATCCTTGCTGGGGTCACTAGTCTCATTTTGATTGAAGAAATCTCTAAATTTCTAAATAAAGCAAACAACAAAAACACAACTCTCAATTTGTTACACCAAAGAATTGAGGGAGAAACTTAGAATACTAAAAATGTCAACTTAGTGCTATTTAGATTTTTCTCTCCAAAGTTGACAATTGTTGTTTATGGTAAATTTAAGAGGTTATTTGTTTGCTTGTTTGTTTTTTAAAGAAATTAAGGCAGATATTTTGGTGCCTAAATACCTTTCAATCTCTGGCTAAACTGGGCATTTAAATTCCCTAGACTGCTTTACAGGTCTTCTGCACACTTAGGTACACCTACAACTGACGTAGTAAATGGTGCACATAACAGTAGTCAGATGCTCACAGACCAAGGACCTATTTTTACAAAAATAAGTTCAGAAGGCTCAAATAAGGATGTGATTTATAAGACATCTTACTGGCTTGAAGTTAATCTGACATAGCAAGGTATTTCAAATATCTGTTACCAATAGATTAATAAAAATATACCACACTCAGAGTAATTAATGTACCCAGCAACATTCAAATTTCAAAATATATTTACTTAGTAATAAATGTATAGTTAACATGCTGTATATGAACATAACCATATATTAGCAAATGACTAAAATATGCCTCCAAGATAATTGAAAATTCAAAATCTTTTTGGGTATAGCAAAAGTTTAATGGAATGCTGTAATAATGCCTTTCTTGTACAAGGAAACTAAAGAACATGTCTAAGTACATGACCAGGTCTGGCACATTATCAGTGTGTAAAATTAAATTAGCTGTCAAATGAACAATGTATTTTTTTCTAACACATTAATTTGGTTCCATTGTGTGCATCTGCCAGCTAATTTATTCAAATGTAATTCTCAAAGTGCTTTTGGCTTACTAAAATTAAATAGCAAGGGTCTACGGCAACAGATTATTTAATAATCATACATTCCTATTAGTCAGCTGTTGTCAGTGTATCACTATTCACCAATACAGGGTTAATTTTTTTGGTTTTATCAGAGAAAAATGCCATGTAAATTAAGAATAATCAGCATTTCTTAAAAGCTGCCATTTACTGAAAAAGTGGAAACAAATTAAATAAGAAAAAAATCAAAACAACCACCAAAATGTGCCCATGTTAAAATAACAGAAATAAAGTCTCCAAGGGTCTACTTCCCCTTTACCATCACTCATACAAATAATTATTCCCCAAATAGGCAGCATACAGACCAAGGTGTCTTCTCCTACAAGTTACATATCCACTTGAGGTCAATGTAATTTTTAAGCTAAAAATAAACTGTACCTCTGCATCCAGGGTAGCTGATGCTACAATCAGTCGCAGATCCCCTCGTTTCTTTTGAATCTAAGATACAGAAATTTGTGTTAAAACAGTTCCCTGGGAAACAACAGAAGCAAGCTGCTCTACAATACCCTATCATTAAATTCTCTTTAGACATATTTAACAAGACATGGGACAACTGAATGAGTCAAAGCTTATCTAGTAAGCAGAGCTACACCAAACTTCGTTTTATACTCAAGAACTAACTATTTAAGGAGGACTGTACAAGGACCATTTTTCAAAGATCAGAATAGGCCAAGCAGTGGTTGTTCTAAAATTAATGTTGTAATTTTGGTCTTGATGCCAGGTGGAAGAGAGGATCTTCAATGATGCCAATAACTTTATAGGAAATTATTCATGGGGAAGCATGTTCATCAGCAATGGAAAAAGACTGCACTTTGACTCGCAGGGAAGAGAGGACAGAAGTGGTGGGTTATGGGGGAAACAGGGTAGACCTTGTGTGGTAGCAAGGGAATAGTTGAATACCTTATATGTTATAAGACAGCAACATGATAGGAGCATTAAAAGCATTGGGTCACAAAACTGCGCCCAAATGGATAGAAAGTAATGGAAAAAAAATCAAAAAGAGAAAAGAGAAATTAAAAGAATGACCTTTTTTAATAAGCCGATGGCAATGTCTGTATACAGGGTTCTTTCATGAGCTTCATCCAGCATGAGGACACTGTGGATCAAAGCAGAAAGACAGTTTCTATAATCAGATTTGACACTGGAGTCAAGACAGTTTCATACCTACACACTTTCAGAGGAATGCCTAGAATGTTAAAGACAACTTCATGTTTTTAGCTAAACCTATTTAAAAAAGCAGAGGAACACAGCAAGCTACTCATTTAAATTCCCTATAATTTATCAACCATAATACTAGGTAGTACAAGAAGGAATAGGTAAACGTTTATTTTGCCTGATTTTGAACCCTTTCGATCAGCCTGGGTTTGAAAACTTTATTTGGCTTGGTTGCTTAGGAAAAGCTGCACGATAAATGGAACAGGAACAGAGAGAAGTAAAAAAAAATTGCTTCATTTTTCAAAGTGGAAAAAACAAAAAAGGGCAAGAGGGAAAGAATAGTACACATGCTGTATATTCTATTTTTAAAGGGCTCGAGAGAGTTGTTTTTTTATCATTTCTGCAAACCACATACTTCCTAGGGGCTTGGAAAACTGTATCTGTTTTTTTTTTTATTGATAACCCTTAAACAGGGTGGAGGGGGAGATCAATTTAAACTGAGAGACTAAATAGCTCAATTTCTTACAAGGTACAATTATTCCATGGCACCAAGCCCACTTTTAAAAAACACAATCTACATTTATTTCTTTATGGGTTTCAGTTTACATCCCCTTCTCAGCAGTTCATTTAAGCAATGGAACTACAGTTCTATTCTGAACAGTCAATACATGGAAAGATGACCCTCCTCAGTCAACCAATCCAAGTATTTTTATGCTGCTTCTCACTCTTGCTAGCCCTGAATTATATTCTGTCTTGTAGATAATCAACAGAATCATTAACCAGGTTTCCTGTCACTGGTGAGTGAGAGCACAAGGAACCCAGTTTGACTTTCATATCATGTCTGCCAGAATTGTTGTGAAAAATAAAACGATTGATTTAAGCTAAACTTCACTGAGAGACTTAAAGCTCCTCTGAGGTTCTACAACAATCTCACTCCAGTTCTACCGGTACTCCCACACCTCCCAGAGCAGAACCTCATTATTAGATAGGTACTTTTCATTCCCATTACAAGCCTCACTTTCCAGGACTTTATATTCAAATGCATTTGATCTAAAACAGAAAATGTGGGTTGTTAGTTGCCAGTTCTCTAAAATACATCTGGCATTAAAACTCAAAAATAGTCTTCAATTGGGGTTGCAAAAATGGTGGTTATTAACTGCTCTCTAAACTGAAAAAAACAGTCAATTGCCATAGGTTTCTGTCATCAGTGTACATATCTTTACCTGTATCTTGTTAGTAACGGGTCGGCCATCATCTCCCTCACCAACATACCATCTGTCAAAAACTGAACACAAACACAAAGGGAAAATTAGTTATCTCTAGGAACAATCTGAACTGAAAAGGCTATTTTTATGCCCTGTAAGAAACTAGCGAGTGTTCTGCATTATATGATGCATTTTAATTGCATTTTTTATTACCTCCAACTAATTTTCTACTTGATTTTCACTCCCTTCAACATCAGGTATAAAAGAGATGCATGTGTTTCTCAACAGTCAAGTAAACTGCAAACAAGAGATGCTGAAGTAGCTTGAAAGTAAGCTCATTATTTAAATACATAAATTCAGAGGTGGTGCTTCAACCTGCCACATCTAGAGATTCATACTCTTTGAGATGCAAACATTCTCCTTATTAAGTAAATTATATGCCAGCTTTTCACAAAAATCTCTGAGAAGCATCAGAGTAATGATTTTTGGCTAGTCTGGATCTGGACACAAAAACCATGGTTGGTTTATTCAGAAAACAGACCT